CTCCTCTTCCTCTTCCTCCTCCTCCTCCTCCTCCTCCTCCTCCTCCTCCTCCTCCCCCCAAATCAATCCATTGCAAGGTGAAGGCCTCTTCTTTGAAGGCCATGGACCATAATTTACACACTGGTCTCACGTAGGTTGGTAGATAGATATTTTTCAGCTTTCTAGTCTAGGTGTGTCACCCAGCCAGCTTCCATGCCTAAGGGAGAACCAGAACCTGGGTCTCCCCATTCCTGATCCGGCTCCTTAACCACTCTACCAAACTGCCTCTGAATATTTATATATACCCCCATAAAAGTAGGTATGGCCCAGAAGAACCACCCAGGAGAACGAAACAAATTGGCCACTGCTTTCCTGGGAGGGACAGGTGGGAGGGTACAGCAGCAGCGCAACCATCCCGTGGAAAGATCCGTTAGTTTGCAGCCCAGTCCAAAGGCATGGCAAGCCGATGCCAGAGGGTCTTCTCCAGCCAGCGTTTGCTTAGACTGGTTTGGAGTCAAGCTGGCTGAAAGTCAAGCTGGCATAAACACAGGATGGGAGCAACTGAAGGGTTCAGTGCAGATACTCGCTCAGAGAAAACCTACAACTCTCTGGCAAACCCACGGCGTTAACGTTTTGCCTTGTAATTCCAGAGCTTGTCAGCGTGGTTTGTTTTTTTTGAAGCGTATTTGGTCTCCCTGTTCATTTCACACAAGCCTAGAAACTTGTCTGTACTTGCTTGGCACTCGCTTCCGGGCAAAAAGGCTTAAAAACAGCATTACTCAATCCTATTTCCCCCCGTATCACATCTGTTCATGCCATTTTTGCATCAGCTTCCTACTTAGGAAGTGCCAAATAGCCAAGCATGAAAAGCAGCGTTTGAATTCATTTTCAAAGCACGGATTCATTTTCTGGTGGGGAGAAAGTCTGTTTAATACGTCAATTCTCAGAGTGCTGATTTTAATGCAAGCTGCAATTTTGGGAAGGGAGGGTTGACTTCCCATCTTAGATACTCCTTAAAAGGTTCCTAAACACTCCAGCAAAATTGCTGGCATTTTGCCAGCTTCCAATTGCCCAAAATATTATAAATCACATGTTTACTAAAGTCCCTTGAAGTGGTCTGCTTTTCCCTCCCAATTTTTCCTCCTTTAAAATAATCAACTTACTTGATGCTGACTGGCCTTTGCCAAATGCTCATTGGCAGACTCAACGTTCGAGGAGGTTGTCTCGATGTTCGCTTCAATGCTATCTATAAATTAAAAGAAGAGCAGGTAATTATGCGTTAGAGAAGGAATGCTAAACTAGTGCTATTTAATGATTGCCCTGTTCATACATCCCAAACTACATTTCAAGAAGCTTACAAAATACCAAAGCAATGAGCAATTATGAGAGTAGAGTCTGAAGCAATGAAACTGCAAAGATGATAGCAACACACACCGAAAAATGTTGCTTCGAACCTTCCCCAGCCCCCCAAATAATTTATATGCGGAAGGCAAAACTGAAACACTCATGTAAATTGGGTGTGTTGTGCAAAGATCCCTACTAAATGTGTTTTAAACATAGCATCATTTCTAAAAAATTGATTTCTCAATGCAAGGCAAGGGGATCGGTTGAACGGGAGTCAAAAAGATCAAGTTGTTGGCTGCAAGTGCATGATTGAAGCCCTGCCCTTGTCTTACATGGGTGGGGCTTCCATTGCATGGTCACAGCCATTGTCTTGACTTTTTAAACCCGCCCTGAGATGCTCCAATTCAAGGAGAAAATCAAAGGGGTAAGGCTATAATGACTTTCACATAAAATATCCTCAAGCTGGGATGAAGAATAGGGTGACCAGCTTTGCAAGAGTAAAACCTGGGACAAATTAACTAGTATAAATTTACCTCTCCCCCCCCCCCCCAATCCTCTGGAAGTTAATGTGTGGAAGAATGTTTTCTGTGATAAAGCAATTTCTGATAGAAGTGGCCTGATCCATGATCTTGCTCACCCATGGTTTCTAAAAAGAGATCAGCCTTCACAACACGTGGTAAAGGTTTTCATGTTCCTAGAAGTCTGGATATTATTTTCTTGTTTTATGCATATGTAAAGTGGCCAGGGGTATCCTGGAGAGTCCCAGTGATGGAGTTGTAGCAGATGGTGGTGGAACACTACTGAGATGAATATAATCCTGCCAACTGTAAGCAGATGTTTTGAATATGGTTCCTCATTTGATGCTCCTTTCTCCCACCCTTTTTGCTGCTGATGTTTTAAATGAGGTAAAGTCTGGTCCTTTCAAACCTTATCCAAAGACATAACTTGCTTCATCAACTTCTTTGGATCAGAGATGCTAACTTAACTCACTGTTGCTACCAGTAATCTGTGCTGGGTGTAAATGTAGAGCATAGGAAGGGAGGAAATGAAGAATGATTGAGTTTAAAGACCCCAAAGTCTTATTTTGTACAGCTTCTACTCCAATGTCCCCTAGATCTTCAAACAAGTCAACATTAGGACCCCTTGCCTTGCATGGGGAACTCCTCAGAGAATAAATCTAACTGCAAGTGACAGAGGGACAAAGGTCACAAAATAATTGCTGCTTATTGTCAAGTGGTTAGAGTCACTCATATCTGCCCAGAGCAAATCTGAGAAACAGATGCAGAGAGCACAGGGAATGGCCTTGAAGGACCAGAGGAAGAGCCGCTACCAAGGCAAGGGTAAGATAAGAGGAGTTTGAGCCTGGGCCAAGAAAACAACTTGAGAAAATGTCTCAGATAAGCCTCTGCCTAGTTCACACAAAGATAAAAGGAGGGAGGGGGAAATACATTCAGACTTGCAAGATTCTGTTACAAGAAAAGTAGTCCTGACCTATAGGGCAATGGTTTCTTAGTCTGGTCTACCTTGCTGGGCTGACAACAGAAGAGGCTGCTAAGGTGAAAACACCACCAAACCAACTGTAGTGTCATGTTCTTGCTGTCTATTCACCAAGGAACCCTCCTGTCTGGAACAAGCATGGCAGCAGGGAAAATGGCATCTTCTGATGGGTCTCTGAGAGGGAGACAGTTTCCAACCATGAGCAGAGTTGGTCCAGTTTCAATCCTTTTGACGTGACAGATGATAGCATTAAGGAAGCCCAATGTTCCAATTGTAATTGGAACTGCAGTAATTGTAATTGTATTAATTCTTGTTTCTTTTTATTCAGTGTATATGTATATAATAAAATTCATAATAAAAAAAAAGGAAGCCCAGTGTTAATAGGAACCAATTCTATGAGAACTAAAGAAAGAGATGCTCATGTCTGAAACAGAAAAGGGTAACTACAACTTTAATACTGTCTACAGGAGTCTATGCATTGGATAAAACCTGGGAGTTTCTTCCCAGTCCTGACTACAAAAAGCATATAATGATAACCACATTCAACTGATACTAACTGGCTTCTGGCTTGAAACCTTCAACAACTCTTGTTCCACTGTTCCAGTCCTTCCCTTTGCACCACCGCTTGCTTGTACTTTTGCATATAGCAATTTCCTTGTTCCTCCAAGTGTAGGATGAAATATCCCATTGCTGGGAGAAAAGGAGCCAGTATGTGGGAAGCCCACAAGATGACTAGGGTGCTACTCTTGGTAGTCTCTTCTATGTACCTGGGCCAGCTCAAAGCAAGGAGAAGCTTCCAGTTGTCCATAATATCAATTAGCTCCCTGCAGGAAGGGAGGATGTGTGAACAATCAATAATCAGCTCTATACTACATGATATAATGAACTGCATTTTGCTTAGTACTTATAAGTTCTATTGACCTATCACACGGGGGATGAAATTTACATCACAGGATTTAATGTTAATATCTGCAACACAGTATCATGTTAGGTGAAGAAACTTCTGATAAACTTCCATCTGTTCTAGGGTGAATTGTTCAAAAGATGAGTTTAGCCAGCTGCCTCTCACTCACTCAGGTGTATCTTGATCACCATCATGGGGCAAGCATAAAGCAAGCATTCAACTTGGCTTTGGATCATTCCAACTCACACTGGATGTGCCACTCAGTCTGCATGTTCCTCCACACAAATATTATTGTGTATTAAATAGGAAAAAAAAAAAAACCTAGTGAGAAATCTAAGCTAAGAAACTGCTTCTTGATAGACTTGTTTTCATGCAAGATGAGGACAGTCCAGTCCTGCCGACAATTCTCCCACCCCCATGCATTCAGAAGTGGTATAGCCCAGACCATGGCTGACCCTCTTACTTTTTTATGAGTAGTAGCTCTAAGAACGTTAGCTTACTCTTGAGAGAAAGATTTCAGTCAGCAAGAGCTATGGTAATACCTACCTATTGTGTCTCCCTGCTCATACACCATAGATGCCAGGTCTTTAATAATTTGGTTGACATCCAACATATCACTCTGGAAAAAAAAAATAAGGAAGAAAAAGTATGAGTACAAAGATCTATAAGTTAACTTTTTAAATAGAAAGCTACCATTAGCAGCTGGACAAATATTGTCTTATCCCAAATGTTTTTGTTTTAAGTGAGATACCTCCCATTTTTGTACTGAAAGAAAGGAACGACAAAATGCTCTTGAGACACCACATGAAACACTGTTGGTAAGTAACTTAGCTACAAGAATGATCCCCAAATTCCAAAATATGAAGGAGATTGAGGATTCCTCCACCCACCCACAAATTATTCATATATTGCATTTTTCATATTTTTTCAGCAATTTTGACTGAGGATGAACCGCTCGGTTTCATGCACACACACACTGTTGCAAGTATTTCTCAGATGCTTTGCCCTAACATCTTTGCTCTCAGTTCATCTCAAAATTATTCTGAATAATGTTTGAAGGTCAGTTTTACCATGTGCTCAGTGCCTAATGCCAAAAATGTGCAGAGAAGTGGCTTAGGATGATTTTCCAAATTAGGTTCTTATTTTTATGGAGCAACATTACACAGAAACAGAGAGGGAGAGACAGAAAGAGAGAGGGAAATTCCTTCCTTCCTTCCTTCCTTCCTTCCTTCCTTCCTTCCTTCCTTCCTTCCTT